GTTATAAAATAACCTGTTCAGAGAGGCATGAGCTCTCATGAGTGAGAATAAGGAAATAGAATAACTTATAAAAAAAGGATAAAACTTATCAAATGAGAGAACAGAACAGCTTAAAAGGCAACTAGAGTATCAACATAAAACAGAACACCCCTGAACAATATCCCTGCCTAGCTTTGTTTGTCAAATGCCTGCCCAAATGGGAAGGTGCTATGGCACTTCTGAAAGATGTCAAGGCTTGGCTTCTGGTGGGCTGCAGGAAGGATGGAGTGCCAGAGCTGAGGAGTAACTGCCAAGAATGACCTCCTATATGTTTGCACCAAGCTAAATTGGTGCACTGATAGTATTTTAGGACCTTGCTCTCGGCTGACCTTAAAGATTGCAATGGGACATAAAGGAAAAGACAATCCCTTAGGGCCCAGACCCAAGGCATTATAGGTCAAAACCAGCACCTTGAATTGTCCCCAGAAAGCTACTGGGACTCGATGCAAACTCTGTACCATTGGAATTATGATCCTGGCAATCCACACTCATCAGAAAGTGGGCTACTACATTCTGCACCCGCTGCAACTTCCAGATGGTCTTCAAGGGCAGCTCCACAATGAGCACATTACAATAGTCTAGTCTTAAGGTTACGAAGGCGTGGATGATGGCAACCAGATCCGAATTTAAAAGAAAGGGTCACAGCCGTCTCATGAGATGGAGCTGGTGAAAAGCCACTGCTGCCACCTGAAAATCCAGATGCAATGGAGGATCAGGACTACCTGCAAGGCTGTGAACATGACTGACAACGGAGGATGAACCCCAACAATAACAAGTCTCTCAATTACCCCAAAGTCAAGTGGTCTGCCTACCACCATCACCTTTGTTTTTATTGCTTCCACATTTCAAACATTAAAAGAATCAATATGAGAAAAAGAAAAATAATTTATTATGACAAAACAAGGATTTCTTATTTGAGAATTGGACTGATTTAGATCTGACATGATCTTAAGAGAGAATACTTTGTTGGCCAAATAATAGTTTTCAAACATTTTTAAACCAAAACGTAACTTCATCGAGAGAGGAATATTTGTTGAAATTGACTTTAATTATATCATTTAATAATCTTGTATCATATGCCCCGAATTACTTTTAAATCTATTTTCTTCAATAAACCTTTTTAATAATGAATTTAAATGGCACATCTGTTAAAAACAAATCATTTCCTGAGGGCATATAAATTTTGCAATTATTTACAGAGGTAGGTTATGGAATTATTTTTGCTGGCATTGAAATGAAGGAAAGTATTACGTCTGTTGGCATAATAGAGTTACAGTGGTAAAACCGAAGAATACAGAAATACACCATATGCAGGGATCAAATACTGCATCTGTGCATACCTATAAGTTTATCATTTTCAGTGAGACAGTAACTTATTCAAAAATGTTTTTAAAAAGTGGTTTAAATGGCAGCAAGATGCAGATTTTTTTCACCACCACTTGAAATCTTGGGTTAGTTCTGATCCAGAGTAGCTGCCATATGACGACTGTTAGAAGATGTAAATAATGGTTTTCAATCAGTTCTTATTAAACAGTTCTCACAAACAAAAATCAAAACTGTAAGTAGCACTAATTAGTACTCCTGGTAACATTTTTAGCAGGCATGCCAAAGAGAAGAGTGTAATAGGGTTAAAAGAAGCTAAGCACATAGACTGAACTGCCTTCTGAACCTCATCAGTAGTTCTTCTAGGTCAATATTGATATGGCAGCATCAGGAAATTTGCACTGACTCTCCATACTGCAACTATTCTGTGGGAAAATAAAATTACTTTCCCAGATTCATCAACACTGGTCATTTCATGAGGAAAAAGTGGAGGGGGTGGGGGAGAAAAAGAGGTCTTTGTCTTAAACACGGGCTCAGACACCTTTCAAAAAAAAGAGGGAAAAAGGTGAAATTGTTATAAATTAATTAGAATGTTTACATACAAAAAAAAAAAAGTTATCAGTGGTTAAGGCTGCAAACTCAATCAATATTTTGGAAATGCCAGACTAGCTTAGCCTGTGTTATCTTAATTTATCTCCTTTATGCAGATGCATGGTAATACCATCTTTAAAACACGTCACTGCACATTAGTTTTTATCCACAGAACTCCTGCCTCATTCAAGGCACAGGATGGATAATGCTCACTGACAGCATGAGCTAATGCCCACTGACATCAGTAAAATGATTCGGACTATTTCAGTGAGCACTGGATAAGAGTATCTACTCAAAGTTTCTTTTGATCCTTATCATTCTGCATGGCTCTGTCCTTACTGTACACCATACAAACCTTGCATTGAAAAAGAACCATAAATGACCTCAAGGTTGCTTTTATGTTAGGGGTTGGCTGGGCAGCAAGGGGCATTCCCAGGGTCCTACCTCTTGCCTCACTGGACACATCCCCATGAGCCGGAACATGCGTTACCCTGGGGACAACTAGCAGCTGTACATATTTGTTGCCCTGGGTGAGGTAGGGGAGGCTGGGGCCAGCACCTGAACTGGCCCCAGCAGTCTTACCCAGGGTCCTGGGGGCCTTCTGGGGCAGCAGCGGCAGCGATCTGGGTGTGCAGAACCTGGCCAGCAGCTGGAGCGTGGCTCTGGCTGGCCAGTCTCTAGTTTCAGCCAGTGCATGCTGCACCCGCTTTTTTCTGCTGTGACTTTTTTAGATACCAGTATTTCCTGGTATCTAAAAATTTTGCTGCCACACTGTAAATATGCAGCATGGCAAATGGAATCATGAGTGCTACATGCATTTCATGGGCTTTCAGCCACCGCAAACCATACGTTCCCACTCACTGAGAGAGAGCCATTCTGTCTGTTCCCTCCATGGTGTCTGCTGGCCTCCCAGCCCTCCCTGTTCAGTTGCTGTGGTGCTGCCAAATATAACGCTTTCTGTTTCTCATGGCCACTTGAATTAGTGGTGAGGGTAAGCACAGGTGGTGTGGGTGCTCCAGGAGAGTGGTGATTATTAGTTTGCAGCAGGGTTTCAGGGTGTAAGCAGCAGTAAAAAGGTGTCAATCCCTGTTCCATGGCACTTATCACACATTATGATTTTAGTTTTCCATCTGTCTGATGTTCATAGATTCAGGTGAGAGTGTGTTATCGCCTTCATTTTACAGTTGGAGAACAGAGAGAGAGAGAGAGAGAAAGAATAAGGCCAAAACTACCAGAAATGTACACTAATTTTGGGGTGCTTAACTTGAAACAACCATGGCTTAGTTTCATAACAAACCAATCAATCTCCATAACACTCCAGTGAGTGGGGGGTGTACCTAGTTAACACATCAAGAACTGTGGTAAGTGTAAGGTAAAAACATTTCCACTCATTCCAAGTTCTCAATTTGCAATACCTAGGACCTGCATTTTCAGAGTACTTAGCACTTTATAAATTCAAAATATAATGCCCATCAGCTTCAACTGTAAGTGCTCAGCACTTTAGCAAATCAGACCCTAGGATATCAAGTCAGACACCCAGAAAGTTAAGAACACACAATTAATGACTATCTGTGAAATGTCTCAATTGAGCAGCTTGTCCAATATCCCAGAGAATGTCTGCAGCTGAGGAAAAAAAACAGATACATTTCACCAGGGGGGCATCTAACTGCCTAGACCTCACCCTGAAGTCCTCTGCTTCATTCACTGAGAACTTTTTAATTTATGCAATAATTAAGGCAGGCAGGGGAGGATCTGTGGTGCATGGGATCAGATCGCCTTTGACTGGGCAGCACATGTGCAGTAAGCTTTCTGCTAGAGAGCTCTGGTCTTGGCTACCAGTGGAGGATTCTATGTTGTAATCTTAACATTCTTCTTCTGGACATCTTTTAGATTTTAGTTTTTATATTTATAAATAAAGCAAACTAAAAATATTTGGGAAGTTTGAACAGGTCGAGACATGCTAACATTTATGTTGGTCATCAGCAGGGTACACAGCATGAACATCTATTACTTGACATAACAGTACCCGATAGAAGGCTTTTAATATCTATCTGAACCTGCCACCATAAGCCAAGAGACATTTTTTGCTAGTAAGTTTCACAGCTACCTAGAAAACAACCGAAAATCTTTGGGAGTTACTCTGTTGTTCTGATATTAAGGCTACCATTTTTACCTCCAAAAGATTCATCGTAAAAATTGCACTAAACACATATATGGGGTTAACCTATAATTTGGCCCCTTCTATTCTTGACTTTTGTACTACTTTTGTCCATGCAATAAAAATTCCAAGTTATAATTTTCTTTAGCAGTTTTTATTTTAGTATTTTTAGTCCATTCAATTATACGGGTCTTTTCCCTGGTTACTTGATTCTTCTGTGGGATTTTGAAAGGGCAAAGGTAGTTCAACGTCTTTATTTATTTTTATCAACTTACAACTTAAACTCAAGGAAAATACTATTTACCTAAAATTGACCCTAAAAATGTAGGGTCAACTTATAATCAGAACAATACTGTAGAGACAGAATTGAACCACATTTCTGGTCTGAATCTTTGAAACAGAATTTATTATTTCTGTCAGGACAGCTCCACAATGGGAAGGGATAGTAGAGCCACCAACTATTGTGGAGGCAGAAAGAACTGATGAGAAACTTTGAAGGGGGTAGGGGATTAACTGTCATTGACCTCAAGTCTGGTTTGCCCCTAATGTACAAGCAGGCTGAAAGTCTGTGCTTAGGTCATAGATCTCAGCACAAATAACTCAAGTTAGTAAACTGAAACACTCGGAACTTTAAAAAAATACTTTAAATTGCAGGCATCTAGATGGAGTATGGAACATAAATTAAAGGAGGAAAGGGTAAGAGGAGAAATAATGGGTTTACATATCACAAGACAGCATAATCCTCCAGCAGGTGTCTTCAGGTACCATTTCAAATCCAATTACATGGGTTTTTTTTAGCTCCAGTACAGTAACTATGAACTAACTAAGACTCAGTTTTCCGGTTCTGTAAGAACACACAGAGCAAGAGGGGAAAAAGGTGTCTCGTTACCTTGAATGTCATCGTTGAAAGTACAATATATGTTGCGGTACTTATGCAAGAGGCGGAATGCATTAGCATTAGCAAAATCTTCAAACTGAATGAGGCAATTCATCCCATACCTAGAAAGACAAATGGATTGTAAATTTACAATAGAAACATAGCATATCTTATCCAAACTTCTAGTATCTTCTATTTGATTCCAGAAGATGATAGAAATGCTTTTAGAAGATTTCTGAAAATGATAAAATACATTATAACTTATAACTCTACCCTGTACTGGCATCAGGAGAGGAAAATATAAACAGTTTAGTTTAGTTTAATCTCAGATTATACAAACCAAAGTACTTTATCTATTATCATTTGGCAATTTGAAGATGTCACCACCATGCCACTCTCTACACTGATCACAGTTAGGCAATCATATGCCCCATGGTTTGAATTAAAGGCCCACATTGAGCAAACATGTTCATGGGAACCTACCACAGGAATAGATTAGTGCAATCCAGCTAAGTAAAATATGTGGTAGTGCCCATTGAGCGCAGCCCTCCCTAGCACCTATGCTTATCCAAGTCATGGTGAGCCACTACATGGACCACATTTTGACAACTTCTTCACTAGTATAGCTGAGCTGCACCTCTCTTTTGCATTTCAATGATTCTTGTTTCTTCACCACCCTTAAATGTCTGGCAAACCACCAAATGGGGCCTCAAAGATTTCACCCAGAATTTCTCTGTTGCTCCCTCTCTTGGCCTGTTGCATATGATTATTGTGGCCTCACCTTCCCTGAAGTGAAGCCAGACCAGGTTCTCCTGTGCCTTACCTGCTTATCAATTTTTGGAGGATCCCAGGACTTGTGACAAAAACACCTGATTCCAGTCACAAGTGGGGGGGGGGGAAGGGTAATTAGCACATGGATCCTTTGTGGGGGATATCTGGAATACATATACATACTGAGCAGTGATGGGATGTGGGGTCACCATGGCTTGAAATGCTGTTGACTATTGGGGGCCTAACCCAATACATTATATGGTAAATCATGAGCCTTTGTCCATGGCCTAATATCATGCATAGTTTATACTACATATAAATAGGTGCCAAAATGCTACTTAAGTGTTTCCACAGAGTACCTGTGCCAAAACTTGCAGCAGTTTAAAAAAAAGGTAAAATGCATCCATTCTGGATGAACTAAGTCTATAGGTACTGTATGCAAATTCCTATAGCTATGTTTACTTCCAGTTCATTTTTTTTTTCAAATTTGCTCCTTTCTTCCATGTGCTCAGGGAGACCAGGGTCTGACAGTAAGAAGAGGGGCTGCAGAAGGAAGAAGTTGGGAGTGGGGGCAGAGGGCAAGAGGACTATCTGATCTCCAGGATGTATTTTCCTTGCTGTAGCAGTGAGAAGGGGAAAAATTCAAGGCAAACCTCCAATAATTAGATTCTATATCTTGAAAATTATATCAAATTTATGAATTTTCCATATGTAGAATCTAATTATTGGGAGGTTGTCTTGTATTCAGGAACATCTTATATTCAAGTAAATACTTGAACGTAGTTTTGTATTTGAACTTATAGATTACTTCTACAGTATTCTAGCTATTCATGGTGTTTTACAGGATAAAAAAAGTGAGTTCCTATCCCAAATTGCTTACAGTCAAGGGTAGTCTGCAGTACAGGAAGGTCAGATAAGGGAAAGCACCAAAATGGAAATCATGGATGAAAGCAGACACAACTGACCTGATAATAATTTTACTAGATAAGGCAGGATTTAATATACTATGAGGCATGCCTTGTCATTGCTGAAAATAAAGGCAACATATTTCCCCAGCTAGCATGTCGTCCTGACTGCAGAATATTTAGCAACTGCCTGGGGAAATGATACACACTCTAGTCAGCAAGCTATGTTTATTGAGAAGTGGTGCAAACAAATCAACGTGCAAATGAGAAACTGCCTGGTAGATTGCAAATAGGGAAGATTTCTTACTCAGAAAGATGAGAAAAAAATGCATGATCTAGCTTAAATAGACAAACTTATAGAAAATAAACATCACTGTGAAGTCCAGGTAGGCATTTCCTTTCTCTTCCCCAGTCTCTTTGTAGCCATTATTATAACATCATTTTTCTTGCCCTGGAACCCCATGCATAAAAGTTCTGAAGAGTAGTAGCTTACTTTTAAATAAGGGGCTACGGCTAAATGACTTTAGTAGAGAATAAAGAACCTTTAGCAGGACTTTATTTTTTTGTTATTTATTCTACCCTCCTCTCTCTGCACCACACACACCTACTACTGTACTTGATCAAAATGCATTAGTCCTTGGAACCCCTCTCTCAGTTGACTGCCAAAAGAGGCATATTTTCTTTCTCTGGCCCAAAGAATCCTAATATTTTTCTGTTTGCAAAGCTGTAATTATAACAAGTGAAATAGAGATTCCCCAGTCCCAGCCAAGCCAAAAGCTCTTTTGGGAGGTTGGCAGAGTAGTGCCTAAAACTTACTTCTCCCACACTGGGTGAATGCTGCAACTGCTGAGCTACTGGATAACAAGTGGCACTGCCCATTGCAACATGCTCCTCCATTTTTGAATGAAAGTGGCTGTGGCTGCTTTCTTTTGCACAGAGTTCAAATCTGTCAATGTCTGTTGGCATGCTCTGAGCACGCCTAGTGAATTAGACCCTTAAAGTAAGACAAGTGGAGACTTAAAGATTCCAATCTGGCTTAGGTTTAAGTACACGTGACAATCTACTCAGCCTGGTCAAAGTAGTGGCACCCGTAGTCACATGCAGAAACATTACTTTAGGTGTATAAGAAGCTTTACAGGTGAGAACTTGGTAAGTACAGACTTTTATATCTACAAGATTATAAGAGGCAGGGTCATGGTGGTGATGAGGATTGTAGTCTTAAACCAAGTTCCTAAATTCTGCCTAAAATTTAGTACCACTCAGGTACTAAAAATTTGGGTTTTGGTAGACATGAGCCTAATTAGCAACCTGCCCAAAGTTGCACAGAAGGTCTGCATCTGAGGTATTGTTGCACTCAAATTTCTGGTGTCCATATTCAATATTTCTGATACCAAGTCATCCTTCCTTTACTGCTTCAGGACTAAAGGAAGCAGATGCAGTTCTGACTTCACACCAAAAATGGGAGCTGACCAGGAGTCTAACTTAGAACCCATCTGGATCCACTAGAAAAAACTGGCTGACAAGAGGCTCAATTCATAATGCTACTTGTCTTTTGAAACAATGGTCTGATATCAATTTTATTCAGCTTGTCTAATTTAAAACCCAGTCTCTATCCTATACTTTGGTGTCAAAGGGTTAGACAGATGTTATTTCTGGCGCACTACAGAGACAGAAGGTGACAAAGTTGATATAAAGGCACGCTCTCCAGCCAGAGGACTACATGGGACTGCTCCTTAGCTCCCCCTCCCTCAGGAGCCTATCAGTGATCCAGGAAAGCTTGATGATAGGCCTGCTTGATCAGCTGTTGCCACCATGTAACAATTGACAGGACGGCCTGAAACACCCACAGGAGTAAGGGCTCATTGGTCAGTCTCCACCTCCCAATCAGACCTGACCAATGAGCCCTTACTCCTGTGGGTGGGTTTTTTGGCCTTAAGAAGCTAAAAAAAACCCTGTAAAAAAATAAAAGCAATCAAAAACCCTATAGGGAGTACAGTGGGACCTGTGACAATCTAGGTGTCATTCTCACTAACAAGTAAAACCCTGGGGGGTTGCTTTTACACCTTCGCAAAAAAATTTTCAGAAGCATATTTGTGTCTTTTAGTCTTGCTGTCAGCCATTGTTTTGGATTCTTTCCTGAAGGAACAAGTGGTTGCTTTTTAGGATCTAGAGCTTCATGTTCAATTCCAAAATCTTATCTGTCCGTTTCCTTTGTTCACATGGGTTTTGGAACTATAAATGCTTTAAAAACATCAGAATTGGTTGCTGACACTCAGTCCAAGAAAGAAGCAAAACCAAAATAACAGCCACAAAGGAATTCCCTCCTTCTCTTGCGTCAGTCAACAGCCCTGTCATCTAAAACTGTTTATAATGTGCCAAGACACAATGTGGAAAGCATCCCATTTCACTTTCCACTGTGGTTGTTTTTTTGTTTTTTTTTAATTAGTTAGTTCCCACATCATCTAATTCCTCAAAACAGTTTTAACCAAATTTGGCATTCTCCCCCATTCATGCTGCACATGTACCTTTTCAACATGCTGGTGTGTGCAGAGTCCAGGATTATGGAATGGTTCCCTGATCCCAAGCTACCCACATGCCTGGACCTTTACAAGGTGTGTACAGCCTGGCTGCATGTGTGCCCTTTAAAATGTACTGGTGTGCAGAGAGCCCCACAACTCCTTGTGTGCCATATTCCCTGTGTGCATGGGCAACTCAGCAGTCTCTGATGTGGGCTTCCTCATGCACTGGCAAGTTGAAAGGGCAGCCCAGCACCAGAGAGCAGCTCTCAAGTCCAGGCTCCCTGTACACCTTTTTAAACTAAAATGCCATATGGTCAAATTAAAGTGCAAGACAAACTAGCCACAAAGATGTTCCACATTTAATGAATGGCTGGTTCACCAATTTTATTGCATGATAAATTGCTTGAACACACTGCTTAAACATTTTGCAATTTTTGCATGATTAACTTGTTACATTTATCACATCATTAACATCTGGAGGGGGTTGTGTGAACTTTTCTTTCTTCCTATAGCCAACAGTGAATTGACAAGAGCCATTTCAGTGGGTCCCCTTCATTTTGTTTTCTCTAGGAAAAGTTCTCACAAAATAAGTTTTCTAAGAAAAAAAGGGGATCTTCCCCTAAACAATATTCTGACAGAAATTCCAACCAGTTCTAGAAATTCAAATCCTTCAAAAAAGAACAAGAGAAAGACAGATTCAGGTGTTCACATAGCATTGTGATGAGAGCCTTTAGTATCTGTCCTTATATCCACCACAGGGAGCCTCCACTCTTTGTTCAAATTCTTTCTTAACACCCACAGACAGCCCCCACTGTCTTTATTCAAATCCCTCCTTAATTCACCCATGTATGTGTGTGTGTGCACATGCACGCGCGCGCACACACACACACACACACACACACACACACACTTCTCTAAAGTCCTTTA